AGTGAGGTCACGGGCGGGGCTGGCGGGAGTGGGCGGGGCGCGCTCGGCCGCTGAGGGGCGCGCCGGAAGTGGGCGGGGCGTCCGCTGCTCCGACGGGGAACGTGAGGCCGCAGGGGTCTTGGCGTCTCGCGGTGGGGCTCGTGGTCCGGCTCTGAAACGTAAGTGCAGGTGGACCGCGTCAGCTCCCTCTGCGCTCTGCCGCCCGTGGGGGCGTTTGGGGACGTGGTTCGCAAACGTGCCCTGCCCAGGGGCGCATTAGGCGCTGGAAAGGGACTGTTTGGGTAAGTGGAGGTGGGGTCGTTCCACGTTATTCTAGGCCGGTGGATCATGTCTCTGGCCGTGACAGTATTAGAGACAGCTTGGGTGCTTCTGCTTAACGCCCCAGAGAAACTTAGTGGTCCTGAGGACACCACGTTTTTCCAAGAAAGTTGTTGAGATAAGTCCATTTGGGGGTATTTAGCACAGGCTGGAGCTGGGTTAGGTTCCTTCTCTTGTTTTCCCTTGTGACACAAATATTTGTCAGGGCGCAGACTCTATTATAATGTTTATGGGAGCCTTGGCATTAGGTACTGTAGTTTCTCCATATCTGTATTCCTGGGCCCTGGCACAGAGTCCTCAACTTTTCGTTGAATGCTTGGGAGGCGTAAATCTGAATGCAGTTGAGTTACTGTGTGATGCGCTTGTATGTGTTACTGAAATATTCCTACCCTCAGTCTCCTTCATTAAAAACAAACAAAACACCAGTGGGCCCATTGGTGGACCTCTTAGATCTGAGAAGTGGAAAATAAAATATGTAAATACTAAGCTCTTTTCCAACTAGAGCAGCTTTAATAATTTGAAAAGAGAAACGTTGATGTATATTAGTATCAACAAGAGTGTCACAGAGGAGGTGGGATATATCACTGGGTAAGTAGCTAAAACGAAAACTTTCCAGGCAAGGAATGAACGAAGACTGTGAACAAAGACAGCAGTGGGAATGGACTTGGTGTGCACAGACAACCAGAAGGTGCAGGTTGGGGCACACGTGAAAATAAGACTGAAGGCAGTATAAGAACAAACAAGCAAGAAAAACGTCATGTAAGTGCAGTGGGCTCTAGAAACCATGGAGGACGCACGGATTTGGGAAATCTGAGATGTAAAATTTGTGTGGCAGTAGCATTGAGAGGGATTGGATGGAAGAGGACTACTAGGGAGACAAGAGGATCTGCAGTGTAAGGGAATGGAACAATGACAGAATACTCAGAAAGGAGAACTGATAGTTGCAGTCAGCTGGAAAATCCTTTAAAGAAACTCCACATGATTTTAACTGAAAAGGTGTATTTAGATTGGCTGCCTCTTTATCTTTCAAATAACTGCACTTAGACAAATGATTGAAATGTTGAGGGGTGCTTGGGAAGATAGGAGAAAAGCAAGTGCTCTAGGAACAGTGGCTCTGAGAAATTTTTTCTTTCATGGACATATCTGAACAGTGTAACATTCAGTGTCAAAGATCCTTACCTGGATCTTGAAATTATTTCGTATGGTTTAAAATGTGCTCATCACCTTGTATATCAGTATCAGATCAAGTTAAGTAAAACACACACATAGTATGGGGAAATTTTCTTCATTTTTAATTTACAGCAGAAAGAATATAAAGCATTCAGAAAACATTTTCCATATTTTAAGGGCAATTCAAAACATTTTGCATGGTTTCCAGCAGCTGAGTTCTTCAACAGATCCATTGATTCAATGATGCTTTACATGCACAATTACAAAAATAAAACTTACAAAAAAGAAGACATCTAGACTAGTTTTACATGCAAGTCTCAGGGACCCCCCATTGGGCGCCAACTACTGTGTGGAACTGCCATAAGCGACCGTGCAGCCAGAGAGGGGTTCGTGTTATTGTCTTTATTTCGTTCACAGTACAGCTGATTTCGAATGGGTAACAAGAATAGCAATTAAATCTTCAGGAGACAATAAGATTAGCTATTAATTTTATAATGAAATCCTACTCCTGGCACTTGGGAATTCAGATTATCCAAGATAGCTGCGCTTACCTATCATCTTATAGTCAAAATTAAGATTCACAACCAAGAAAAAAGAGTCAGAAATGTTTCATTTCAGTGGAAGTGCATTTTTACCTCACCTAGGATTCACAGTTGTACTGGTAGGTTACATTGGTAAGTTTTGAACCTACTTCCTATCCCCTCCATAAGAACTCTCCTAATTCTATGTAAGTCTTTATCTTCCAGAATTTTCTAACTTATTCAGTTAATAATGTAGCATGTGAAACATTTAAAAAAAATAAATGTGAGGGTTAAAGCAAATCCACTGAGGTCATTACTCTGGTCAAAAGATCAGTTGTTTGTACCATAACAAATAGAATAAACATATCCAAATTCAGTATTAATACAGGATATTCTGAAAGAGCTGGCTTTCACATTCTGTTCCCATTTATGAATGCAACTGTGTGTTCATAGATAACTCAGTGTCCTCCTATAGGTCAAATTGTGAAAAATAATAGGTATTTGGGGGACTGCAACAGCTGCAACATAACCCACACATTTATAAACAAAATTGAGTCAGATCAGTTTACAAATGTACAGGTGGCTACTAGTTGTGGGGCTGTCACTGTTGTCAAAGCTGATCACAAGCAGAAAGACATACACTGTACAGTAATTCGAGGTTGGCAGTGAAAGGAAGTAATTAAAAAACAAGTACAATTATAGAAAAGGCACCAAGAGCACTGACCCCAGTTTTTACCACAATCTTTTTGTATCTACCGTCCTTCTTAAAGACACCAGTTTAAAAGCTTATTTGTGAATATTTTTAGGCTTCACAACAAGCCTTGAGTTTTTAACTCACAGTTGGCAGCCAGAACCGAGAAAAAACATCTGAGCTTTACACCAACTGATCCTCAACGTTAACCCGGGAATTTTAAACTGGCATCAGCAAATGCGAACTTTATTCTCTCAATTTAACATTAGTAGTTTAATTTTTAAAAGCATCAGATTTCTTTGGCTCCTCATTATGTGGAAATAGTAATATACCATGACATCCCTACAAGACCAGTCTGCATCTTTTTCATTTTTAGTTGTTTTTGTGCAATTTTTATTACATTTTCTGATTTCCAGCAGGAGATATGAAAAGTGGCATTTTTCTAGTATTCATACTATTTCTTTTGTCAGGTTTTGCTCATTCTAAGTGTTCTTTGTTGGAGTGAGTGGATGGTGTTAAGCTATATACTGATTCATCTTATGTTTATCTGTTTTTGCAAAAGTAACTTAATTTTCTTAAGCAATATTAGCATTCACATTACTTGGCACCATTGGCAAAAAAATTTTAAATAAAATAAACTAAACTCCTGGTAGCCAAAATTAAATGTAAACATATCCTTTTTTTTAAGTAATGTTACTCTGCCTTTTTTCTAAGTCTAAATACAGTAGCTCTTTTTTTTTTTTTTGCAGTTTAGTCATGCTTTAGCAAAATGTTCTTCTAAAGAACATTTAAAATAAAGTACTCTTATAGTGAAATAAAGTTTTTTTTTGTTTCATTTTACAGACCATAGCCACTAATGCTTTGCTTTTGTTCATTTCTTTTTTCTTGATTTCATGCACATATCTCTTTGTTTTGATATATACAATATATACAAACAATACATCCACATTTTTTTCGCTCATTCAGACAAAACTATACAAATAATTTTATCTTGCCATGTTATTGACCTTTGTGAATAAAATATTTTGCAATTAATATAATCCCTTTCAAATAGTTTCTCACTTTTCATCTCTACCTTCTATATATACACAGAAATTGCTCAGTTTGGATGAGATATAGCCAAAACATGGGATTTACTGGCCAGAACGGAGCACCACACTGATCATTTAGGTGGCAAATGTCCAGGCAAGGTTTATGATTCCTTAGAATTACTACAGTTTCCAAGGTTACTAAAAAAGGCT